GCCTTTTCCGGACACCACCCAAATCCTCCGTTCGCCCCAGTCGAAAACAGTTGTTTAATTTTATTTCTCCTTTCACAAATCATGTCATCAACATCATGGCAATGTGGCGCTCATGTCTCCACATGCCGTATCTCAATTACCTTCCCAAAGGTAATTGCCCAAGCATATAGCATTTGATAAATATGAGTATGCATGATTCTAGAATAGCATTTCTAAGCAATTGTCATAATTGACTAGGGACTCATACGTAAACATGGTTACGAAGGCATAAGGGGTAAACAATAATCAAGGCATGGCATAATCACAAGTAGGATGTTCATCATTGCTTGCAATTTTATTTGTAAACAAAATAATTTCGCAATTGGGATCAACATGTTCAAAGAATAGTAATGACCTGCCTTGCTCGTAGTCCTGTGGGTCTTGACCCTCGCTCGGATCCGCAACTCCCTCGGGCTCTAAAATTACGTGCGAGGAAATGATTTGAATTCAATTAGAATTCAATTAAAATCCAAATAACTCAAAAGGTCGAACGCGAATCGATCTTTCTATATTGACTACAAAGTTTGCGAAACCACTTTATTCGAATTGTTGGGTCTTTTAACCTAAGTCATTTTGTGATTTAGAAGTACATTCCTAAGAATTCAACCTAATTGTTTAATTCTTTAAATAAATCTAAATAAATATAATTTCCTACCGCGAATTGATTACTTATAGAGATTACCAAAAATAACCTATAATTATAATAATATTTTGCAAATCCTACATTTTAATTAATCTATAATTAAATTCTAATTATTTTAAATTTTCTAATCCTCCTTAATCTCCCTCTAATTTCTATTTTGTTTTTATTCTATTTCTCCACCCTTCTCTTTCTTTTCTTTTTTTTCTCTCCTCCTTTCTTTCGTTTTTCTCTCCTCCTTTCTTTTCCTCTCTCTCTCGGCTTCTCCCCACCTCTCTCTCTCTCGACTCACGGCCTACTCGGGCGGCGACGGCGACCGGACGCGAGGGGGGGGGGGGAGGGGCGGCTCACCGGCGGCGGCACAAGGCGGCGACGCACGGCGCAGCACTCGGCGCGGCGCGGAGGCTTCGAGGCGACGACGCGGTGGCACGAAGGCGGCGGCGCGTGCAGAAGGAGGGGGGAGATGGAGGGGGATGGGTGTGGAGTGGAGAAGGGAAGGGGCCGGGGTTTTATAGGGCGCGGGGGAGGGGTTGGATGGCCCTAATGGCGACGCGACGGCAGCGCACGGGGCTCGGGGTGACGGCGACGCGACGGCGCGGGGTGCGAGGCGGCAGGCGCGCGGCGCGGCGACGGGAACGCGGCGCGGCGATGGGACGCGATGGCGGCGCGGCGCGGCAGGCGGCGATGGCGACGGCTTGGGGCGCGAGGCGCGCGCGGCAGAGGAGGAGGCAGGGCTAGGGACGCTCTCGAACACCTAGCGTGCAACGAATAGTGCTAGATTCCAATTAACCCTATTTTAGCCTATTTTCTATATAAATTTTATTCTATAAATCCTAATTTTTGCATAAATGAAGTTTACTCAATATTTGTGTTATTCTAACCAATGGATTCACCTAGATTAATATTACCCATATTATATTTTTATATAATTTATTTGAATCTTTAATTAGGGCTAACTCTTATTCCAACGCACTTAAATTTAATTGATACTAATATGGTCGCGATAATATTTTTATTTATTTCTATCCTCACCTAATCTTTATTTTAAATTGTATTCCAATTATTTATTTAGCCAAATTAATTTTAGGGTTTATTCCTAATTAGTTATTCTTTATTCGCGATTAATGAACTCCGAAATCAAAATCCAATGAAATAGACGAATAAAATCGGCATGATGCAATTTATTTAAAAAGTTTTTGAAGATTAGTATTTTCAGAGTTTTGATTTTGTTGGTCGAATTTTCAGGGTGTTACACCCCCCTTTTGAGCCGCGGCCGGTGGGGCCCGCCTGCCAACCACCCCCTCTCTCCTTGAGTCACTGACCTGTGGGTCCCGCTTGTCGGCGCCGCCCCCCTTGCTGATGTCATCCTGGGTTATTTATTGCATAATAAATCTATTAAGGCCTTTTCTTTAATAGTAAAAACACAAATAATCTTCTAAAATTCATAAGTAATTCATCCGAGCTCCGTTTAAGTCCATTCAAGTCTCAGTAAATTCATAAAAATGCATAGAATCCATTAAAAATGGTTTTGTTTCCTATTTCAGTAGTCTTATAGCATGTTTTGCTTGTGTGCTTTGTTTGTCGCGTAGATTTCGGCCGCTTCGTCGATCCGCGGTTTCTCGAAGACGTTGCTGTGGTCTCATCAGTGCGAGAGCAAGGTAAGTCATGCATTACGATTGATCATGTTGTACCCAATTTACAAATGTCCCGCATTTCTATTAAATGTTGCATTGTTTTACAATATCATGTGGGATGGGTCCTACTACTCAGCCATATATTGTTTACCTTATGCCATTGATAACTTAGGTATTAAAATGCTTAGATGTTGGTTTAGGGAATGCTTAACCATGCTTAGTTCAACTAGTACACAAAGGGGGAATCACATTAATGCATAGACTTTGATTATTGGCAATAGCTTTGGATTAGTGCCACCGCAATGGTGTTAGTTAATTAAAATACACTACATGGTGGGTTGTGGGTGCATGGTTTTGCTAGTCGTGCCCATGGCGATTAAGGACCGGTTCGCGGGATGCCCTGGAAGAACTTATCATACTTACCACAAGCCCAAGCCAGCGTGGGCAACGGCTGGGCTTGTAGTGTAGCTTTCCTCTAGCCGACGTACCCAGGCGAGGGTGAGCGTGATGGAGTTGGGTCGGCCGGGGTGTCCGATTGATCGGCTTCCGGATTCACCGCGGCACGAAAGGGGGGCTGCCCGTTGCCTGCTGGGGACGGGGGCGAACCCTAAGGTGTGGTGCGATCGGTTAGAGGGGGTTATGCGAAGGGTCCTGTCACGGCCTCTTTCCGGTATGTCGTGGTGGCATGTCGGCGCACGGGAACGTGTCGTGGGGCTGTGTCTTGTGGGTACAGTTGTACACCTCTTATCAGAGTAAAACTATTCGAATAGCCGTGCCCGCGGTTATGGGCGGTCGACCAGATTCACTGTGATTAGTCCCACCCCTAGTTAGCTAATGAACTGGTGTAGTTCAGGTGGTTGGTTGGGCCTGTCGCAACGTGGTGTAGCGTTGGACGGTGATTGGTTAATGTTGATTAATTACTGCAACTGTTTTACTGTTTTCAACTACTACTTTTAAATGCTAGCTTTATACAAAAGAACCTTTAGCCTCCTTTGGATATATCATGCATCATACCTCCTCTTCCGGTGTGACTTGCTGAGTACAGTAGGTAGTACTCAGTCTTGCTCTCTTTTCCCCCACCCCAGATTTGAAGTTCTTCTCAGTTGGAGATGTCTCGAAGAAGTTGGTTTCGTCACTGCCGTCAAGGATGCCTGTGGAATGGAGTCGCCTCGTTGCAGGAGTCAAGTCTTCAGGCTTAGCTCGCTTTTACCTTTTCCGCTGCATTTGTAATCTTTTATATTTTTGCAAGACGTGGATCTGTATGTCAACAATTGTCGTTTGTGTACCCTGGCTAGTCCTGGACAGGAGTTTAGTGCACATTCAGCTTAGAAATTCCGGTTCATGAATTTCTGGGCGTGACAAACACCAACTTAGAGCAATGATAATAATACAGCCAACTGCTTACTGTATAGATCTTTATAGCCTATCTCTTAACTCACTCATGTAGCGGTTAACTTTTCACTATAAATATATGGTCCACCTGTCTGTCTCACAGATTTTTTTGTTTCATGTACCTAAGCCGGCTGTAAACTTACAGCCCGCTTCTCATCTCTCTCATCTCTTCTCTCATCCACCTCAGTTTTCTTATTGCCTCTCTATTGGGGAGGCCTAATGGGCGATCGATCGCCAGGGCGATCGCCCAGCGATCAGATCCGGCCCTCCTCCCCCCTATAGTCCTCCCACTTCTCCCCTTCCTCCTCTTTTTTTCTTTTCCTACTACAGTAAACCATAAAAAAAATTTTAAAAAACAAAAGTTAGAAAAAATTATGTATATAAATACTATATATAAAAAATTTAAATTTGAATTTGAATTCAAATTCAAATTTGAATCGGGTATGTAAACTTTTGACTTATAAACTTTAGATCTATAAACTTTAGGTGTATAAACTTTAGATGTATAGAAATACTATATATAGAAAATATTTGAATTCAAATTCAAAATTGAATCAGATATAATTCAAATTCAAATTTGAAACGGGTATATAAACTTTTGACTTATAAACTTTAGGTCTATAAACTTTAGGTGTATAAGCTTTAGATGTATAGAAATACTATATTAAAAAAAAGTTTATAAACTTTAGGTCTATAAAATTTGAATTCAAATTCAAATTTGAATTCAAATTTGAATTCAAATTCAAATTAAATTTGAATCGGGTATGTAAACTTTTGACTTATAAACTTTGGATCTATAAACTTTAGGTGTATAAACTTTAGATGTATAGAAATACTATATATAGAAAATATTTGAATAAAAATTCAAATTTGAATCTGATATAATTCAAATTCAAATTCGAAACGGGTATATAAACTTTTGACTTAAACTTTAGGTCTATAAACTTTAGGTGTATAAACTTTAGATGTATAGAAATACTATATATATAAAAAAATATTTGAATTTAAATTCAAATTTGAATCGGATATATAAACCTTTGACTTATAAACTTTGGGTCTCTAAACTTTAGATGTGTAAACTTGAGGTGTATAAATTTTAGATGCATAAATTTACTAAAATAGGAAGGTAATGCGGTGTCAAAAATGGAAACCAGGTGGAGGGAGCGGGGGGGGGGGGGCGTGGGGCGATCGCTGCCCGATGGGCAGGGCGATCGATCGTCCATTAGAGTTTCCGCTCTCTATTTGCTCTCAACACCGCAAAACCGCAAGAAGTCTGAAGTACGCTGACATGTAAGTCCAGAATGATAGTAGTATTTATCTGCCGCATTGGCAAAACACAAAAGAAATATATAGCTTGATATCTCTTTATCGATTAACAAGGCAGTCAGATAAAAGTACATTAGTACAATCAATGTATCCCACACACATGAAGGAATGAAGCTATGTCTACAAATGAAACCAAACAAAATCTTTCTTCCCGTTCTTTCAGGGAAAACTGTTTTTTTTTTTACTTCATCACGATTAACCAAGTCAGGCACGCGCGCGCGACCTCTCATTTGTCTATACTGAAGTTGTTGCCTCGTCAGGCTTACACTCGTGTATTTTGACGATCAACTTGTCCCCTTCGTTTGCGTTCTGCATCTTGCAGCATTGTCTCCGTGGTGCCTTGTCCAATCCCAATCAAGTTATCAATGCCGAAACGTGAACAAGCAAACAAAGTAAGCATCACATAATATCAATCTAACTTTTAATCACAAGTTAAAGGAGCTTGCTTGTGACGTTTTTTTTTCAGGGAATACGAATCAGACTGCTATTTGTGCGTGTATACGTACCCGTTTCCAAATGGCAGGGTTCATCTTAAGCGCGATCACCTGGATCATCTGCACCTTGGTGGCCGCGTCGAAGCCGGTGGTGTTGCAGCGTTCGCCGGACAACACCTCCGGCACGTACTCCGTCAAGGTCCAGTTCGTGGTCGACGTCGACATCGCCGTGACGCGGTCCAGGTAGAACATTATGGGCTTCCTGTGGCACGGCAGCGCCGTCGCGTTCGGCGTGGCCTCCGGCCGCGTGTTCACCGTGAACGGCCCCGCCGGCGAGCCCGACCACGCGCGGAAGGTGCGCAGCGGCGTCTGCAGCTCGTGCGGCGGGACGGCGGCCGGGTAGAGGTGGACCATGTATCCCCAGGAAACGGACACGGACAGGGTGAATTGCCGCCGCCGCCGCCGCCGGCGACCGCCGCCGCGAGCGTCGTGGTGGTAGCAGATGGCCTGCTGCAGCGTGCGCGACGGGTCGTGGCGTGACGCGCCGACGAGGGACCGGACGGCGGGCAGCCGCTTGAGCCAGTTGGGGGAGATGGGGTTGAGCCGGTCGAGGTGGTGCAGCGACACCAGCGGCGCGACCGGGTGCGCCGCGAGCAGCCCGTACACATGGCCCTTCAGGTCCAGCTGCCAAGTTGCACGTAACAACACACAGAGATGAGAAGAGGGTGAATTGGTGAATTGCGTTTGTTCTTAAGCACTTGTACAATTCTTTGTGGTCCAGTTCCTCCTTGTTCACGCCATTTAGCTGTGTGTAATGTACTAGTGCACAGTGTCCTCACATCTACCATACTAGCGTCATTTTGAGTGTCTCTCATCCCTACGATATGAGCATCATGAGCTGGGTAGAAGCAAACATCGTCCTGACACGTTCGCTTTGCCAGCAACACTGACATGAACATACCAACCGCTTGGATTTGGGAAAAACCAGAAGCTCACGTTTCATTTTCTTCTCTCGGGATTTTTTCGGCAACGACAAACTTCTCTCTCACAAATCTCAACAAATGACAAGGTGGGCGGGGCGCGGAACAGCGAACATGAGGTGAACCCACTGTTTTAATTGCCGAGTTAATACGATTGACGGACGGCTCAGATTCATTTAGGAGAATTAGATTGACGGCTCAGATGTAGGGAAGTGGCTACCTGGTGGAAGCCTGGCTCCGTGGTGAGCGGCACGCCGAGCTCGGCGAGGCAGGCCTGCACGCGGTGGTCGCTGCCGTAGAACTCGTTGTAGCGGTCGAGGCACCCGTCCATGATCCCGGCGAGCGCCGCCGCGGCCGGGTAGCTTATGGCGTAGCCGCCGCCGCCGAACGCCATGCTGTACGAGTGCACCACGTTCTGGCCCACGCTCTCGGAGGTGGACCCGACGTAGTACATCTCCCGGTGGTCGTACTTGTCCAGCACGGCCACCAGGTTCTCCGGGAAGAACACCGTGTCGTCGTCGCCCATCACCAGCCACCGCACCTCGCCGTCGCCCTCCCGCCCGGCCTCGGCCGCCTGGAACGCCTCCGCCACCGCCCACGCCATCCGCGCCGCGGCCGCGTGCTCCTTGCCGAACCGCGCCTCGTCCGGCCTCAGCACGCGGTACGGTGGCCAGGATGGCCGCCACTGGCCGGAGGGCTCGTCGTCGAGCCAGACGTGGCCCCGCATTGCCCCCGGGCGCCACCACAGGCCTGTGTACACCCGGCGCTTGGCCCAGGTGGCGTTGGACGCGCCGATGACGAAGACGATGTGCGCAAGGGTGGTCGGCGAGCGAGCGGCGGCGCCGGCGACGACGGGCGGAGATGGAGGAGACGGCTCGCAGAATGGACATTGCCGGAGGTCGCGGACGACGTTGTTCCCGGAGAAGAACGAGAAGTAGGCGAAGTAGGAGGCGGAGAAGAGCACAAGCGCGCACAGAGAGCGCTTGAGCCAGCAGCACCGCTCGTTCTTGCCGTCGGCGTCAGGGAAGACGTTCGCCATGGCAGCGACGTTGCGGCTGACGCCATGGAGCATCTCCGATGACGATATATTTTTTTTCTTGTCACCTTTCTCGTCTCGCCAAGTGTAGGACAGGGACTCCAGAGTCCGGATTAATATCTCTGTTCCTCACCTAATTGATGTCCTACTGCATCTAATTCACAACAAAATGGGCCTCTAACCTCAGAGATATCTTAAAAGAAACTCACAGTAGGGCTTGTTCGGATCGAGAAAAGACATGATTCCGATTCTTATAGGAAATGGTAATGTTTATGCATTCGGAATGGAGGGATTTGGTTCAGTTGCAGTCCCTAGTGTGACTGCAACTTAAGCAGTCACACTGGGACCATCCAAGTTACATCTAAGGGCTAAGATTCTCGGAGCACTGTTTACGCAGGAAAAATATTTTACAGCTACTGTAACAACGGTACTGTAGCAGTTGATCTACACCCTTGATCTGAAAAATGAATGGATGAGATACTGTGCAGTCACTAACTTGCAGTCCTATTAGTGACTGTTTGATCTCAATCCGGAATGGAGGATTCTTACTTAGGTAAAAAATGGTGGAAACTTTTTTACGGTGTTAATTTGTAGGAAAACTGTATGGAAAAAGAATCCAGTCCAGCCTCTTTGTTTCCGTTCCCATTGCGTAGGATCGAGGCAAATGAAGCCATGATACCACTAATGCAAGCCTTAAGCATCATCAGGCTTCTCCTTTTCATTATTAACTGTTGTTCTTTAGGATAATACTATGGTTAACTCTCTAATTAGCTTTGCACGTACCATTGTTTCCTGTGTTTTCCCCTGTTCATCTAGATATCTATTAATGTGTTTTACACGTGTATTTCTATCCTATTTCTATGTTTTTCCCATTTATGTGTTTTTTTTTCAACCTTGCATTTCGAATGAGCTTTTAATATAGGAGTATGTTCTAGGTAAACTCGTGCTCCGATTGATATAGTATTCGTTAACCAACTAAGGAATATATTGTCACAATTAACATACAGAGATAGGTAAACTATTCTAAACTCTCGAGGGGATATTTCCTACGTTATTTGCATATAATCTAAACGGTTATACTTTAAATATATGATAAACCACCCCACAAACATGCAACATCAAATTTAACTTCTATATATTTCAACGAAGAAAACAAATTCCACCGTTAATATATGTTAACTATCCATAGTTTTCTTTTTCTATCTTGTAGAAATTGAATTTTAACTTACATGTTTGTGAAGTGGTCTATCACATATTAATCTATATTATTACTTTTTTTTAAAAAAAATATTCTTCATAACCATTTGGATGACATGCAATGTTGTCAGATATCGCCTTGTAATCATTTTGAGATGACTCTTCCTTCAGAGGATAAGCCTCGTATCTAAACTCTTCGCTTAATACAATGATATGCAATTTTGTGAGTGTTTTTAAAACTCGTATAAAGGGAAGAACTCGATGTCTCCACTCTATATAAGAGTATGGGTCCGTTTGATATAGCTCTTACTCTAAGAGCGGAATGGAGCTAAGTAGCTGTGTGAATACCATTCCACACTAGTAGTGTAATTTTCAGGATTGGAGCGACAACTCTATTTAAATTATCCAGGATTTTTGTAGCGCCCGTTCCGTCGTGGCGCCTAGCGGGAAAATTATCTCTTAAAAACCCTAATTGCGAAATTTGTTTCTTTGCTTGTTGTCTAGTGTCCGTGCCATCTCAGATCTCAAATCCCCGATCTATCGTCGAGTTCATTTCCGAATCCAAATCCTTCCAAATCATTTCCTCCGCAAAAGTCTATTTTGCCTCCCCCGGGGTTGATGGGCCGAATCTCTCTCGGCCCATCTCCCCCTCCCTCCTGGCGCGCGCGCGCTCTCTCTCTCTCTCTCTCTCTCTCCCTCTCTCCCTCCCCCTCCGCTCCGCCAGCGCGCCGCGCGCGCGTGCGCGGGCGTCGCGCCGAGCGCCCTCCCCCCTCGCTCTCCCTCTCCCCATCCCTGGCGAGCTCCCCGCCGCGAAGCCGGCCCCCGCGCGCCATTATTCGCGCGCGCGGCCGCGTGGTTGCCGCCCGTGCCGCGTCGTCTGCGCCGTCTGCGTCGCCCGGCCCCGCTGCCCTGCCGCGCCTGCAGCCGCTCGGCCCCGCAGCCAGCGCGCGTGCCCGAGCCGCGCCACTCAAACCGCCGCGCCTCCCGTTGCATCCCGCGCGCGCGTGCCGTGGTGGCCGACCGCCTGGTCGCCGCCGTCGTCAGCGCCTGCCCGCGCCTGTCGCCAGTGTCGCCGCTCCGCTCCACACCGCCCCGCCGTCATCGCCGTCGTCATCGCCTCGGCCCCGCCACTCCACGCGCTAGTCTCCAAGGGACGGAGGCAGAGCCCCTCCTCCCTCTGCCGCGACGCCCCCGCTCCCCTCCTCCTTTTCCCAAAGAAGCAAGGGGCGAGCCCCCCTTTCTTTCCCTCTTTTCCCCTTTTTCCTCCCGCCGGCGTCATCCTCCTCCCTCCTCCCTGTCGCCGCTTTGGCCGCGACCGCCAAGCGCTAGCCCTCTCCTTTGACCGCCCTAAGTTGGTTCCCAAACCGACATTGCCATCCTATAAACCCAAGCCTCCCCCCTTTCCTTTCCTCTCCCATTCGCCTCCACGCCATTGCCGCCGCCTCCCGTGCTCTGTTCGCCGTCGCCGTTCGTCGTTGCGCGTGTCGGAGGAGCCGGCACGAGCAAGGATGCGGAAGGGGACTCCGGGCGCGCCCTCTCCTTCCTCTTCCCCGGCCCGAGGCCGGAGAGATTACTCCCGCGCCGTCGGCCTCTCGTCACTGCGCCCCGTCCGCACGGTAGTGCCTCCCTCCGTTCTTCCTCCTCGCTTCATCTCTCCCCCTTAGTTTTCGGTAGTAGCACGAGTAGCCTCCCCGTAGCTAGCCGGCGCCGCCCCGACCGTTGCCGTCGCTCGCCATGTGCTCGCCGTCGTCGCCGCCCGTGCTCCGTAGCACCCGCTCGTCGCCAGCCTCGCTCGGCGTAGCTCCGCCCAATTCAACGCTAGCATCGGATTCCCGTAGCCACGTAGATGCTCTCGCCGCCGGGAATTGGCCCCTCGTGACCTCGTCGCCGTTTCCCCCTTTTCCCTCCGCCGGGCGCCGCCGCCGACGGACTCCCTCCGGTGAATCCGAGCCGTTGGCTCGTCTCCCCTCGTCTCGTGCAACCACCCGGTGTGCTCGCTTTCGCCTGTATCGCCGTGGTTCGCTCCGCCGCTCGCCGCTGTCGTCCGCCGTCCGTTCCGGCCGGCGTCGTCGTCTTCCTCCCGCCAGCCCGCGTGGCAGCCACGTAGGCGCCACGTCGGCGCCAGCTCGGCCGAGATCGGATCGGGCCGACCCCGGTCAGCCCCTCCCGTGCACGCGTTCCACCGCGAGCCGTGAGGCTGCGCGTGGGCCCGCCGCATCCGTTCCACCGTGAACCGCGCGCATGCACCGCGTCCCTCCCCCATCCTAGCGCCGCGCCGCGTGCTCCCTCCGCACGGTGAGCCGAGCCGTTGACAAGCGGGTCCCACTCGGGACCACGCGTGGTGAGCCCGGATCACCGGCCCTCTCTCTCCTCCCCTCCCGCGCGCGCACGCTTGGGCCGCCTTGGGCCGGCCGGCCCATTTAGCTCGGCCGAGCCACCCCTTTTCTCTCGGGCCGCGCCCTAGCCGCCCGAGGAAAAGTCTAATTTCCCTCCCCCTCTTCTTTTTTTTTTCAAAAAGGATTTAATTAAATCCTTTTCCTTTAGACCAAAAATCCAATAATCTTAGAAATTCAATATCTTCCCAACCGTAAGTCCGTTTGACTCCGTTCAACTTCCAAAATTCCTCAAATCTCGAGATCTATCTAATGGCATGCTTAGAGGTCATTAATAGGGCTTTATTTTTCGCCGTTTGTTGAGTTGTCCCGTTTCGCGTGTAGTTTCGGAGCCCGAAGACCCGCAGTGCGAGGAATTTGAGGATCAAGCTCCAGATCTCGAGCAAGGCAAGCCACCTTTGAACATCTTGAGCCTATATTTGAAATTTAATTATGTTGCTTGAAAAATATTATGCATTGATAGGGTCGCACTTAATCTGTTGTCCCGTCTGCAAGGCAGATTAGCGGACCTACCTAATTTGTTGCATTTGATCCTTCCTTTGTTAATTGATATATCATGTTCCCTTGTAACCACCCAGTTGCGCCTCGGGAATCGTGCACTCTGTGCGAGTACCGACGGTCGCCTTCAACTTAAAATCTGAATAACAACTTGGGTAAAACTTGGGTTTTACAAAAGACTTGGAAAACACGACACCTGGGTCGGTGCTTGCGAACTAAATGAATTTTCCAAAACAGCGGACCGGGGAACGTACCGGGTGTACAGTTTCCCGCTCTTGCACTTAAGGACCGTTTCCTTGGAATTTCATCCGAACATAAGACAAGTACGACCACATGGGTGGAATGGGACACCCCTGGCTGAGTAACTAGCTTATCAGGGGAGCCTTGATGCCGAGAGACATGTGGATTCGCCGGGGTGGTGTCGGGGAGGACCCCTGGGCTTCCTGGCACAGTATGGTCTGGGACCTAACCTGTTGTTGGTCTGGGACCCCTCTCGTCGGCATATGGTAAACCTGTGTCGGCTTTGGAAATGCCTTGTCATGAAAGCTTGGAGGTCTCCCGACGTGGCTGATCCCCACGGGCTGGGTGATCCGGGTTAGTAATGTCGTGTGGGTAAAGTGTACCCCCTCTGCAGAGGTTAACAAACTGTTCGAACAGCCGTGCCCATGGTCATGGGCGGATGTGAGGTGATTCCTAGCGTAGTTTTGTTTGACTACTGCTTGTGAAATTGCTGTTGTGGAAAGGGGTTCGATGTTTGGAAAATCTGCAGCTGATGGGATCAGCTAGGCCCGGGTGGCCGTTTGAAAGTTGTAGGCCTGGGTGGCCGTTTGAAAGTTGTTGGCCGGGTGCCAATCTTGATCAATTTTAAAGACTGATACATTGCACATACTCCGACCGGACGAGACGCACTGTCTTATCCGTGTCGTTTGAGAAGCACTCACTTAGTTGTTTTCAGAAAAGAGTTCAAATAAAAATCATTTGCAAAAACAACAGCCTTTCCTTGAAAGCCTGCATTAAACACTTAATTTCCCATGGCTTGCTGAGTACTCCCGTACTCACCCTTGCTCTATATAAATAATCCCCCCCAGTTGCTGAAGAAGATGAAGCGGATCCTGCTGATGAGGAGTTCTTCCAGGAGCAAGCCG